AATTGGGAAAAGGCTAGATTTTTATTTGGTCAAGTAGTCTAATCACCCCCCCCCCTCTAGACATACTTTTGATCCTATAATATAATAGCATGGAACAATCAAAAATTATATATACGTTGGAGATGTATCAACAGCGAGGTCTTCGGGCGGCGATGGTGGCCCGCAGTGACGGTGTCGGTGAAGGGGGGCACCGGGCTCGTTACCCCTTCCCTATCCAGATCGGGTCGGGGAAGACGAGCGAGAGGGGAGGTGAGCTGGAGACGGGCGGCAGGGAGGAGGCCCGGCGACGCCGACGGGCGATCCGACGGGGTCGATGGGGACGATCCCCTCCTCGATCCAGATGGGATCGAGAGGTGGGGCTGGCGAGGGGGAGTGGGGGAAGTGGGGCGACCGGGCTGGGGTTCGATGGGGAGTGGGGGTTAAGGGAGGCGGCTGGGCCAGCCTGGCTAGCCCAGTGGCTAGCTGGGTCGAGGCCCAGCGAGGGGTTGCCCCCTTTTATTTATTTATTTGGTATTTAGGTTTTTTTGTTTTTATCATTCTTTTCTTTTGTGTTTTCTTTTAGTTTCTCTTTTATTTTAGTTCTATAAATTATAAAAGTAGTCCCTAATTTAGTCTAAATAAATATACTATTGCCATATAAGTTTGGGCAACTAAATAAAATATTTTAACATTTTATTAATTGTAAAAGGCATTTAATTAGTTGTTTTGCTACGGTTTTATTTAATTTTAGGACATTCAAACACTTTTAAAGATGTTGGTTTCTCCACCATTATTACCTATGCATTATTTTCCACCTCTATAACATTTTAGTTTTCATATTTGAAAACTTTTACCGTTGACTTGATTTTGAATTCGAATTTGAATCAGTTCTGAACCAACGCAAGTTTAACTATAGTAACCGTGGTGACATGGCATCATTAGCAGGGAATTATTGTAGCTTAATTATCTGGGCGTCATAGAAGTGTTGTGGCCGGCAAATCGACGGTGGCGGTGACGAAGCAGAGACAGTGATGAAGACGACGGGGGCGGCGCTCTGCTGCTCCTAGTGTTGTGTGCGTCGACAAGGAGAGGAAGAGCGGGGCGACGGGGCTCGGGGGCAGATTGGGGTGTGGTCGGGACGGCGGTGAGCGTGGTGGTGGTGAGCGGCGGCGGCGAACCCGTTCGAGTGGGTAAGAGAGAGAGGTTCAGGGGAGGGGATGAGCATGGGGCGAGTGGGAGGGGGTCGAGGGGTATCATGGCGTTCGAGGGCGTCAGCACCGGCGAGCAGACGGGCAGGAGGTGGCTCCCTCAGGCATGCGTGCGTCGACACACCTCTGCCTTCTGGCAGATGTGGGAGACGACTGGCAGTTGCCAGGTTGGATGGGCCGGCTGGAGGAGCTGGGCCACATATAGGTAAGGTCGGGTAAGGTTTGCTCTCCTTTTTATTATTTTATGTTTTCTATTTTTTATTTAACACTTGCCATTGTTTTACAAATTCAAATGAATTCAAAACAATGCCAAATATTCTCTGACCATTTTTATGTTGCTTAATGGACCTTTCCAAAAGCACACAAAATATATTAGAGGAATTTGGAAATATATTCCATATATTAAGAATATAAATCCAAATTCAAATACAATAGTGATTTAAATTCAGAGCCCAAATAATTTCTTTAAAATGTTCATTATTTTTTATATGGATAAAAACCATTTCCAAAAATATCAAACATCAATGAAGAGCATTTTGGGTTCATTGAATGCAATTTTTTTAGCCAGACCTATTTGAAAATCGAAGTGCTAGGGTTTGATCACCCCCATTTCAAAATTAATAGAAATTTGAACATGATGCATGGATGTAGATGCAACTATTTACAATCAATTTCTAGGGCTATGACAGTAGTGCGGACATGTTTTTCGAGATCTAAATTTGACCATAAATTTAACCACCAAGACCGACTGCGATAGGAGCAAAAATTATACCACTGAATTCGTATCGAAATACGAATTCAGTAGTATAATCGATATGAATTCAGTGGTATAATTTTTGCTCCCGCTGTAGTCGGTCTTGTTGACTAACTTTAGAGTCAAACTCAGATCTCGGGAAGCACGGGCGCACTAGATTGTGGAATGGGAGGAGTGCCTAAATAGCTCATCCCCACTGTCTCAATTCTCTCAACATGCACACATGCCACCTCATCACCCCACTAACTATTTATCTTAACATGCATGGGAAATGATATTTATATATTATATCTATTTTAAGTTTTATTTAAATATCATAAAAAATATTGCAACCAATTCTCACAGCAATGTGCGGGATATCATCTAGTTTGTTTGTAAAGTGGGGGAAGTTGTCCTTGGGGCCTGTCAAAGGGGGCCATTTAGCTCAACCAAGCTAGTCTCGCAAGCGGCAGCTGTAATGCCCTCACCAGACCCATCAGTTTACCCACCGACCTAGCCGTTCCGTCTAGGGTCAAGACTGGCCCCATATGCCAACACTAGTTTTTTCTGCGTACTTTGTACTCAAACTCAGTCGTCGGCCCAGCATGAATGTTCCCTCTTAGCGCTTAACTTTAAGGTTCCTTTCGGGTGGGCTCTCAGGAAAAAAAAGGTGCCCTTGTTGACATGAGTAGTCTGTCAATCCTATTAAGCCGTGATGTCACAACAATGTCAAGGTGGGCTTTGGGTCTATTCAAGTGTGGTCGTCCTTTTTATGGTTGTGCTAGTCTGCTACACGTGGCTCAGTTGATCCCCACCTAGGAGTAATGGAGTCGGCAACCGTACGATTGTGACATATAGCCATTCAATGTATGCTTCATGCTTATTATCTTTCGATTGTGCAATGTTTTAAAGCATTTTCAAAAACTAACTTATTTCTATGTCTAAATAGTTAACACTCGCTAACCTATTTTTCTCAATATGCAAACATGTCACCTCACCATTCAACATGCTACTTACCTATTGATTACTAGCTAGGAGATTAGATGAGAGTGGCAGAGCTAGCAGGCCAAAGAAAAATCATAAATAGTTTGGAGGCAAAAGATTATATATTTTTTCCAATCTAAGCCTTCCCCAGAAAAAATCTCCACAAAGTGATCCAAGGTTGAGGCGTAATGGTCTCCCGAACTCAACATAGCTTCGTCAACGCCTCACTGTTTTGTCTCAAACAAGTTGAGCTAGGCTTGAGGTGAAACCCATACGATCTCGCAACCAACTCATGGTTCTAGCACATGGGTAGTAAGCTTGCATGCACCCCTGTCCATGGCTAGTTCTCTAGTGATACTCTAGTCCTTCGGATCTCTCTTTACGGACTCCCCGTCAAGCCTATCACAACCTCCTCCTTTACCCAGGCTTAGGACCGGCTATGTTGAGACAACATAGACGAAGTTAGATGTCAACAAGGTCAAGATAAAAGAAATTGAACAAGGCCTCACATAGCAACACAGACCACACTGGTAGACAGCACAAAAAAATTGAACAATGCAACGGACCCTCATCGTCTTACCGCGGTAGCAAGAAACCAGACTAACTAAACCTGATTTGGACGTCCAACAAATTGCAGCTTCGGACCGAGTCTTGGCATTAAACTACACTTCCGCAACGCAGTCAAAAGCTAAGAGGAAATCAGGAGGATGGATGCTACCTCCTAATGGACATGTGAAGCTCAATGTGGACGCTTCATTTGATGAGGACCTTCTTAAGGGGACAGCTAGTGCAATTATTTGAGATAATAGGGGCAAATTCATAAATGCGGGGAATTGAAAATTTGGCTTCTATTACGATGTGCTATGTGTTGAAACTATTGCGTTGAGATATGGTCTTTGCCTAGCACAAATAGTAGGTTGCAACAAGTTTATTGTCAATTCAGATAATCTTGAGGTTATCAGTACGATGAATGAAGGAGCACGATCTACAGGTCCAGCGGCTGCAATCTTTGATGATTGCTATCATATCGCGTGCAGCTTCCCTTATACCTTCTTTGTGCACTGTCCTAGAGAGGCTAATTCTATTGCTCATGAATTAGCAAATTTGGCTAAGGGCCCGTCTTGTAATAGATTTTTTGTTCAGCCTCCTAGCAAGCTCATCCTTTTCTTATTAAGTGACTTAACACTGGTTGAATCGTAAATAAAGAGTAGGATATGTTTTAAAAAAAACCTTATTTAGACCCCACTAACCAGTGAATGCCATATTTATTTTAACAATCCCAGCAAACGTTCTTAGGATCGTCAGATCCCAATCAAATCCATGGCAATTACTTTGCACAGCGTGGCAATTTTCTAAAAAAAATTGTACAACATTGCAACTCTCGCTCTAAAACATGGCAATCGTTTGCTCGCGTCTCCTTTCACAGAGTTGGAGGGTTTCTGCCAGTAATTTTGGGGATGGGCCTGTCCATTACCTGCCAAACGAGGCCTACAGTGTCTAAAATAACCGTTTTCCGTTAAAAAATTAACAATTTGGCACCACCAACAAGTTCATTAATGAATCAGAGATAACCAAAAAAAGCACAATTATACTGCTGACTTACTTCAACAATCCAATGAATAGAACAAATATAGCTACAATCACCGAGTACCACTCGTCTATCATCCAGACAAATGAAGTTCTAAACAGCTGACTAGCCCTGTCTATGCTGAATTACATGTAGAGATAAAACAAATCAGACAAGGCCTTGCAGCACAGATCCGGTCCCGTCCTTTGCCATGGAACCAGCACAAAGGTGACTTTCTATCTTTTGATCTGTTTCCTCGACTGCGGATTTGGGGTGACACAACAGCTGTGATGAGAGCGAGGCGAGACCAAAACTTTTCATATAATTTACACATTTACTAATGAATCAACGGGATGCAGTCCGCTAGCACAGCAACCAGGCAATCTTGGACACCGGCTGCCTCTTTTGGCCCCGAGGGAGTATCTGACACTGCACTGCACTGTCCCTCTGGTTGAATGCGGAAGGGCCTGGCCTTTGAGGGGGGGCAATGCGGCAAACCAAGAACGATAAATTTCTTCTAGAGAATTTCCTACGCATAATACATATACAAGCTATTTGCAGCAGCGCATGCGATGGAATTCTCAGTAGGGTGCCATGCGAGGTGGAGCAACTTCGTCGAGAAGTCTAACGAGTTTCCATTGGCATCAACACCTAGATTTTCCCCACCTGTAGACAAATTGCCTCGGGAATGAAACTAGGTAAAGAAAAAAGAAACGCAGAAATTTCTCAGACAATGTTCAAACAAAGACACTCACCTCTTCGCACACCACGGGTCATAGAGGTCAGCGTCCCCCGCGTGGGTCTGGTCGGGTTTGCAATCTGACGTCTACATGGCAGCCAAATCCGACAATGAAACACAAGTTCAGACAAATTATAAAACATGAATTGCATGACTAGGCATGACAATGAGAAGTGAACAATCTGCATAGGGTGGAGCACGCAGTACTATTGTAAGAGTTGCTTCCAAACAAAGATCATACACTGAGTATAATATTAGCTCCAGAACAGAGAAGGTAAAGTTGCTCCTGCTAGGAGTTTTGTTTGATCCAATCCAGGTTCAATTTTTGATAATAAGAAAAAATATATGATAAAAGGTCATCTCAAGCTCAACGAGCATACCTCATCGGGTTCCTGCTAGCTTCCAAAGTGGTCACCTCCGTGCTACCAGGAGTAGAACCAAAAACACGGAATAGATTACTGCATTTAAAGACACGAGCATTTTAAATATATAAGCATTAACAAACAGGATTGTAACATTGTACATGTAGTCAATAAGAAGAACAAGGAGTTACCCATAAGAGCCAGTTGCAACATGAAGTCCATCCCCACTAAGACAACACTCAAACTTGTCAAATATTGAATCGTTCTCATACAGATCACAAAGCTGAAAATAGTGATATCATGTGACTAGATTATTTATCGGTCATCACATCACATGGCTGCTTTGCTAATCATTCAGTTGACAAAATCTCACCCTTGGTCTTAGATGTTCATGAACCTGGAAGGTCGAAACAGGGCCTGAATCCATGTTTAGATCCCATAGCTGACAGAAAACAAAGACGAGATTAAATGTGAAGTTTTAACGTTTGAAGTAAATTTACTAAATCAAGAAGTTGAAGCATGATCCTGAAAGAAAAATCTAATCTTCAACTACAAAAAAAAATAACAATACATCATAAATTTCAATGCATATAGAAAGGACAATGACTAAAAACCAACCCTTAAGCTTTAAAACATTTTAGCAAAAAGAAGCAGCGCCATATTTTTTACGTTGCTAAACATTCACTAGTTTTAGTAAAGATTTATTTGTATATCAAGCAACCAGCTAGCAGGCATCAGCAGTTAACTAACTCTCATAATGGGGCTAGAGTGAAGGAAACAAATAGTAGTCTGAAAATCTATTTCCTACTAGTTACTTAGGATAATTTAGGGTAACAAATAATAGTTCCTATTCCATGCTGGTGCCACTGAACCACTTCCATAACCATTAACCACAGCTGAGTTTGTTTCATTTTTCAATACAAGCATTCAATCTTGAGCCATATTCCTAATACGAAACGACATGCATTTCAATGTGTGCTCGAGAAAAAAAGAATACTGAACCATATTCTATTTTGTCAAGTTACTCAGTATCATCACAAAGATGCATCTGGAAAATACTATATTGGTGAGGCTAACGGGTAGGGCCTAGGTCCACATGTCAGTGCACATTGCTTGTATTTCCCAACTCAGTTGATATTTGCAACGGTACCGAACAGAAAAGTACTCTGACTTGAAACAGTGACAAAACGTTAGAATGTGTCAAAACTGAACAAGCACATGGATTTGAACCAAATTGCGACTACTAAACAGCTAAATAAGAACACTGAGATAAAGGTATGTGAACAAGCCAGTAACATACTTTGAGAGTCATATAATCACGACTAAGAAGATATCTTCCGTCCCTTGAAAACTTGACATCTGAAATTGATGCTATTATCTCCGTAAAGAACGATCTTGCTCCAGGTGCTTCATGTTCCTCAAATCTGTTTACAAGTTCTTGTTAACTCATACAGCATGCCATGAGATTTTAGCAATATAACTGAACACATTGCAATCCTCCAGTCGCGTCTAGTTTTTGTCCAGCACAGATGGATAAAATGTTGCAGGGAAAGGTATAGGAGAAATTACTAACATCTTGGAATGGTTGTCACACAATGCAGATTGTCGCAGATCGATTAGCCGGATAGAACCCTTTGAGCTACTATAGGCCAGTGTATTACAATGAGTGGGGTGGAACTCCGCACAAGTAATCACCTCTGAAATTTCAACAAATTACATCATGCAGTGCATATTGATTGCCAAGACATGAAGAACAATACTTGCAGTAATTTTGAAGAAAAAAAGACCCATGATGTTCAAATCGTCTCACTAAAAAAGGAACTAAACCATTACTAATTTCCTGTCTAATATAAACAGCAAAGTATCAATTAACAGATTAACAAAAATGGCATGTGATGATATGGATAGTGTTGACTTGATTCACTTGGCTGAATTCTCTAATGAATAACTATCAGTAGATTTCCCATAGCAAAATTTCTACTGTGTAATTTCAAAATACAGCTTCCACTCTACTGGGAATTGGCCAATTAGATCAACAAAACTGATGTCCCACGAATAATAACTTTTATCAGCTCAGCATCCATGGCACTATAAGCCAATCTAAATGAACAAAGATTGATAATATCCAAACCCAACCAACCAAAGCTACCACGCTATATGGATAGATTCTGCAAACCAATGAGCTACAAACAACGAACACCCAAATAAAATACTATTATACCATGGCCTTCATATGCTATGTCATGATATCCATAGCTTTAACATAGCTTTTGGCTGGCAATGATATATTTCATCAGCCCACCAATTGCTTTATTTAAGACGTAGTCAGGCTACCTGAGACAATATTCTGATGCTAATTCTTACTCAAGTACTGAATAGAGAGGCACAGGTTAATATCACTGTACAACAAGAAACCCACTTAATGATGAAAGAATATTCAGTTATTAACTGTAACACCTGTGTGGAGTCAGTATGTCATCGTGCGAGATCAGAAACATGGCAAGACTTCACAATAAACAAAGGTAAAGAAACTATAGAAGTCTTACGCCAAGGCAATTTACCATGTTGCACTATAGAAAGAGATTAGGAGACTAAGTTGAATTACCTGTTAGATCTTCCATGTTTGTAGGCTTCACATCAACAATGTTAAAGCTCTGGCTGTTTATTTCCAAATTCCATAGATTTATTCGCAGATCATCTGCTGATATAAATGTTTCACCATCACTGGAATTAAAAGACAGAAAATTTATGAGCACAGTATCCAGAGATGACAGATCACAGCACTGGGAGAGCAGTTAAAAGTTACGAGGACATAAGCTTCAGAAAATTATGTTATAACACTGTTGCAATACGAAAATCATAAAGAATTGCTAGGGTATACTTCTCCAGTTCACAAATCAGAATCGAGTTCGCCTACTCTAGCACGTGTCATATTATATAGCTACACAAGAGACCTCCGAGTTCCATACAAAGCAGATCCTTGCATAACATGTAAAAAGGAAAAGAAAGAACAAGACCAGACTGGGTGGTCTCCATCCAGCCCACTGGGACCACTTCCAAGTGAGCTATACCCTGAATTGGGAGCAAACCCGGACAGTTCCAAACCACGATGTAAATTGGTATTCAAAGAGGTTTTGAGCAAATCTGGTAACTATGTGTAGGGTATGCATACATGTTGAGTGGTCCAGATTGGGTAACGTCTCCCATGATTCTTATTAGGTGAGGTACGAATACTACTGTACTGATGCATGATACTCCCTCTGTAAATTAATATAAGACCATTAGATCACTATTCAGTGATCTAAACGGTCTTATATTAGTTTACAGAGGGAGTACATTACAAAGGCACTACATGAGTGACACAAACAGTTCTCTTCTTAAAAGCACAAAACTTGTATCTGATTTGCCTATCTAAATGTTCATTTGGTAGAAGATGCAAATGATTGCACGGTACCTGCTGAGACCTAAAACATGGAAGTGGTACTGTGGTAGAAACACCAACATATTCCATTTTAATCAATAAATGATACTCCGTAATTTCTTACAAACTCATTTAAATTTTACAAGAATTGGCTAGTAAATTAGATATTAAGTTTTGAGAAGATAGATGTTACTAGCTTTGGTGTATTCTTATCTTGTTTCTGCAAGAAAAAGACCAACATAAAGGGGAGAAATATGAAAACTCATAGAAAAATAATGCAGAAGGGATCAGTTGACAAGATTAAAACTCAATGCCGTGGCAAGACTAACCTATTATTCGAAATAGAATTAATATGGTAATCATGAGCATGGGCATATACACGTCGACATCTAGCAACAAGGTTCACATCTTGATTAGTAACCTGCATGTGGTTGGAAGCGAAGTCAGTTGGACTCGATAATAGCTTGATAAACAATTATAGTGTCAGCTTCATGCAGTAGAGCTGACAAGACTTTTGGTACAATTACCACAGGTAAACGCAGCGATGGGTAACCTCCAGGTGGAAATGCGAGATCACTGTTGAGGCTGTCAGACTTTTTTGAACATCCACCATTTGGAAGAGGAGGCTCGGAAGTACTGGTACTCGCACGACTTGTGGTACCATCCCCTACAGTTCGGGAAGTGTCCAAAGCCATAACTGAAACTTGTTTTACTTTTTTCTCTTGCACCTGCAAGGACAGTAAAGCAATAGGTCAATACAGATGAAACTTGATAACAGCCCACAAATTAAAAATGCAAATTCAAGGTTCTCATTAGTTAATCAGATAGAAGGATGTCTACTTCATTTGTGGCTGCAAAGGCCCAGCGATAATAGCAAAACGGAAGGCCTGAACATATGGGCCTACCAGTATCAATAATTTCATGAATTACAGCCAGTGTTGATGTAAATGTTATGAATTTTCTCATCCCCGCAAATAAAAAATTACAGATCAACACAAACACATACTCCCTCCGTCCTGAATTACTTGTCGCAGAAATGGATGTATCTAGACATATTTTTAGTTATAGATACATCCATTTCTAAAAAAAAGGGCAACCTGGTGCATGTAGCTCCCGCTTGCGCAGGGTCCAGGGAAGGGTCCGACCACTTTGGGTCTATAGTACGCAGCCTTTCCCTACATTTCTGTAAGAGGCTGTTTCCAGGACTTGAACCCATGACCTCATGGTCACAAGGCAGCAGCTTTACCACTGCGCCAAGGCTCCCCTTCAGATACATCCATTTCTGCGACAAGTATTTCGGAACGGAGGGAGTATAAGCCTACAAGGAGAAAAATTCATTGACATTACTGCAACAAATATACACTTCATCTATGGTAGGGCTAGACTGCCAGCATATCTATATCATCTATATCTATATCTATATCACCATATAGTGTAACAATAACTTTGAATATCAGCCGTTGGATATGCTCCATCCAACGGTTGAGAGACGGCAAATCCGAACAATAGCATCCATTGGATAAAGCTTTCATCTCACTAGATTCTGCTACATGGCGTTTTAACTGAATCCCCACTATCGTCTCATATTATTCTAGAAGTATCTTTTTCTCATGCCAAGAATCTGATTCTCCAATAAAAAAAAGCAATAGAACAATCTATATTCTATAGAGTTGGGCCCTGTCTAATATGATTCATTCGGAAGGAAATAAAATGTCGAGAATGCATTTCCCCCTGCTATTATATATTTCCTGAAGTGCAAAGCACGTATAATTTACTAGTATGAAACAGTAAGGAAAAGATTGACATGCGCAAGAGAAATTAAAAGGCACCCTGGCATACCTTCCAGTATTTGATCGTCTTATCATTTGTGGACAGTAGAAAGAGTGCATTGTTGGCTGTCTGGCACCACTTGATCTTGTTGATCTTCTCCTCTATCTCCAAACTTTTGAGGTAGTCAAACTACAATAATTTCAGACAAATGAAACAGCACGGGTATTAGCTTCCATCTTCCCTGCCATGACTAAGTTAAGGAAACCTTTTCCATGCACCAGCTTCCTAAATTTATTGTGGAATTACAACTTAATGGCGATAGAAAACTTCTATGGACTACAAAAACCAGTCCAGATTGATATATACCTCAGGTTCATGACTCTGAAACTCCGTTTTATAGCGGAACTCGGGATGTCTAGTAATTGGAACATCCTGTCTCTCCAGTTCTCTCCGATTAGCGTGCTCCTGTTAGATTAACTTCATGAGGGCAAAATATTTAAACTGAAACCCCTATAAGTTCAACTACATGGTGCTTACATCCCGAGCATCTGTTCTCTCAAATAAAACAACACGTCCTCCTCTGTCTCCGGTGGCAAGATGATCACCAGATTTATCAAACTCGATTGCAGAGATGATGTCAACTGAAACAGAACAGCATATACCCAATCAACACGCAAGAAATTATTCAATTGAAATGCAAACGGATAAACCAAGAAAGTAGCCTTAGATTGTAATACAAGGCTATGAGTGTTTAGCATGTATCCTACGAATCCCAAATAAAATAAGCTAATAATCAAATGAACAAGCTGTCTGATTCAGAAAATGAAATCAAAGGTTCCCATCATAAGGATTAAAATCTTTAATTGCGTCAAAGTGGATGATCATATCAAGACAGACGGACCAATGCAGCATCTCTATCTCTATCTCTACATCTACAACTTATAAAAGTAGCGAGTTCTAATTCTTCTGAAGCCACCAAAATTAGTGTATCCAGAACGACCCACACCCTACGATATAATCCATCTAATTAAATCTAAGAGTTGATATTGCTTCCGTGGTCTGCCATCCAATCCAAGGGCTCATATTCCATGTTCTGCCAGAGTCCCGCCCACGTCCTGCCCAGTCACGTAGCCACGACCTCCCTCACACAATCCCCCCTAATTAATAGCATACCCAATATCCATGCTAGCGCTAACCAATTAATTATATCCTGCCTAATATTAACATGTGATTTAATCTTGTCAAATATTAGTGTGCAATGCAATTAATACATTGCCTAGTACTAGCATGCATTGCACGGACACGATTAATAGTAGACATATAAAATGTTAACAATGGACAGTTTCTCCCATGCACAGATGGAAAGCATGTATGTCCTGTCAAATACATCCAAATCCGACAAAAGATGAAAGGCACTGTGGGCCAATGCAAAATCATGCTAGAATCATCCTAAATGATCATAAGCCTCCACCCCTTACGTGATCAACACAGTAACGTAATTCAGTTCAGGTTGCCGCCAAATCATCATAACCGTCAAGAAAAGCATTAACCAACACATCTCCAACTGTGAATCTACTACAAGAGCTCACGAGCTCCGCACCCTCTTACGACCTTCCTGCATTCCTCAAATCACATGATCAAAAACCTGTCTTTATGACCGAATTCTTCAAAGTCCAGCTGAGGCCTTGTGTGACAAGACCCTAAGACTGACGAAAGATTCGCCTTTTAACAAATGATGAAAAAAATTGTTCGCAGCGTGAAGCATATTAAGGAGCAATCCTGACTTCGGCTCCAAAACGTTCCGGCAAGGCGGAACCTGCTAGCACAGAAGCACACTAGTCGCCATAACCATCCATCGACTCTACAAATACGGCAGAACATATCTAGCGCGCGCATTTTCCTACGAGCCAACGGACCAAACGCTCCAGTCCCCTGGTAGGCACAGATGACACCAATCCCACAGCCACCGATCCTTGACCTATCCTCCCGATCCCCACAGTCCACCAGCACAGCTCTCCGGCGCGACCCGGCCTCAGAGGCCCCACGAATCGAGCGGATCTCGGGGGCGGGAAGCGCGAACCCGTTGTTGCGGGCACGCGAACGTACCTTCCTGCACGTCCTCGCCCGCCGCGCGCTCGCCGAAGACCTGCGCGAACCTCCACTCGAGCGATTGCTGCTGATGCTGCTGCGCCGGGGCCGCCGAAGACGAACCCGCCGTCGCCCCGGGGCTGTCGTCGCCGGAATCTCTGGGATTCATTGTGCCGTGCTCACGCGATCGCGCCGCGAGGGCATCGCATCGGGGATCGGGATGGGGCAGAGGAGGTCCTCCCCAGGGGGGGAGGGCGGTAGGCCGGGCGGTGATGCCGCGGCGGTCGACGGAGATCGAGTCGGGGAGGGGCGGGGTGGGCTCTGCGAGGGGGGAGAGGGGGAAGTGATGTGGGGGAGGGCTCGGTCGAGGTCTCTCTGTCTCTGGCCCTCGCGTCCCTCGCGTTCGTGTGTGAGCTTAGCTCTTTTTTTTCCTTATTATATTATTATATTTCTCTATTTGACATGGTAAAAAGCGAACTTGTTCCATGGTAGCAAGAGTGGCGCTCACATAGTGTAATTATCAGAGTTGTTTATCTTAGTGGTGTCCATAAAAAAATGAAAAGCTCATTAGGGCTCTGAAGATGAGATTAGCGAGTCAGTGTTTGGATAGATCCTAATGTTGAGGGGCACTCGCCCTGGTGATTTTACTTTTCTTATTTATCAGAAGTTTTAGGATCTTGTAAAACATGATTTATAGCCTTATTCGAAGATTTTAAAAATGAAACTCTTTAGACTCCTTCATTATTATTTTATCGGGGATTCTTTTTCCGTCTTATTATTTCGCTCACATGTTAAAAACCAAACTTGTTTCATGGTAGGAAATTAGCAAAAGTAGTGCCCGCATAGTGTAATTCTAATAAGTGTTCATGTTAGAGGTGTCCATGGGAGAAAATGTGAAGTTCATTTGGGCTTTATCTGAAGATGAGATTGGCGAGTAAATGTTTGGATAGATTCTACTGCTGAGGGAGGCACTTGATCTGATGGTTTTTACTTTTCCTGTTTATCAAAAGTTCTAGAATCTTACAAAACATGATTTTATAACCTTATTCGAATATTTTGAAAATGGAACTCTTTAGTCTCTTTTAGTACTCCCTCTGTATACAATGTAAGACGTCTTACATTTGTTTATAGAGGGAGTATTATTTTGCCAGGTGGGCTATTTAGACTTATCTTGCTATGTTAACTTTAATTTCAAAAGAGTCCAAAGCACTTCTCTTAATAAATACGATGGTAATTGTCTTGAGTGGACACTCTTTAAAGAACTTTGCTAAAGCATGTATACTAACAGGTTGAGTTGATGCATTGGTAGCCTTATGCATCTATCGATACTACATTTACAAAAGGAAGGTTCGTTTTAAAGAGTGTGGTTGGTGTTTCGTTCACGTGGTGCATCAGAAAAAAGAGGAGAAGACACATGAAAAGCCTGGTGTAAAGTGTATTGATCTTTTTTAGAGAAAATGCTTCGATTGAGAGGTTTTAGTCATATGTGAAGGAAGAGGATGAGAGTGTTGATTCATAAGGGGTTTGTTGGTGTCAGGATTGATGTGCATGATAGTAGCTATTTTGAAACTGGCGAGGGGCTTAGGCTTAAGGACCCCGTGACTCTTTTACCTTCACTTCAGTTGTTGATTTTCTTTTCTAAAAATTCTCAATGGAACTAATAGGCAAGGCATGATCACTGGTCTTTTGTCGGACTAGCCATAGGGGTTCAGTTTGAAGTTTGTAGATGATACACTTTTATTTGATACAAATATATACTCCCTTCGTCCCGAATTACTTGTCTTAGATTTGCCTAGATATGGATGTATCTAAACGTGTCTAGATACATCCATATCTAGACAAATCTAAGACAAGTAATTTGGGACGAAGGTAATAGAAAACTAGGTAATTATCCGCGTGTAGCATGCAAAACCTAAATTTGAGAGAGACGTGCATATTCAATAGGAAAGGGAAGAGAAGAATGGTCTCAAATTCTTTGTAGTTTCATAAGAAAAAAGCTTGTGTAAATACGGATTTATAGAAAGGAAGCAGGCGAGTCATATTGCCAAGATTAGAGGATCAATTCGTACATTTAAAGGAGGAAGTTTCATTGTTCCTTCTAGGTGCATACCTAATTAGTTTCGCTGAAGTCCTCATGTGTACCTTTTCATCCTAAGTAGCTCATATGTCTTATGGGACAAATAGAAAGATGGAATCAAGCTGTTGTGATCAATCCATTGTTCTTGAATTGCAATTTACAACATGCAGAAAGCACATAAATCACATGATGTGGATCTGAAACATGGTACATAAATACTCAGAGCCCTATTACTGATGGGATCTCATTCCTCTCTACTGGTGTATGTCTGCATAACTGAAACATATACCAAGTCTTAACAATGATCATTCCAAAGAAAAACAGCTAGATAAGGGCTCGGGATCAGAGTCAAAGTTTACTCTTGCCTACAATCGACGACCTCGGTGCCTTTTTTCCCTTCTTCTCCCTTCGTACTGTAGCCTGCACTTGTTTTCTTGGGGTGATTTTTTTGGCTGATCAAATCAGGCATCCGGAGGAGTATCGAAAGCTATATTTTTAGTGGCCTTTCTTTGTTGTCGTTGCCAAGGAGGAGGTAGCACACAATTGTGATGGCAATGTAAAATATGCAAACGACTCCTCTCATTACTCCATCGGTTTCATCAGTATTATTGACTCCACACTTAATTTTTTGCGTGTTTGTGGTGGAGGACGTGAACATTGGCAAACAATGCAGAAGGTGAATACGTTTTGATGGTGGTTTTGTCGTTGCTAGTAGTGGACTAAGTGGGGGAATTGTTGTGTTCTGTCATAATGGGGTGAGGTTATGAGTGAAGAACTTCTCAAGATATCATGTTGACACAATGGTTGCGAAGCTTGAGAAGGAAGAATGGAGGTTGATGTGCTTTTATTGCGAGGCCAACAGAAGCCTGTGTCAGTAGACTTGGATGTGATAGCTCGTTTGAGGAGTGAATCAATGCTTCCATGGCTCTGCATTGGGTATTTTAACCAAGTGCTTCAGAGGGAGGAGCAAATGGGACCGAACTTGTGTGATGTGTCCCAGATGCCAGGGTCCAGAGAAGCAGTTGATTTATGTGGACTTGATGACTTGGGATACATTGGGGTGGACTAGACCTTTGAGAAACGTGTGAGCAGTGGTTAGTTTTGCAGAGTTCGGCTAGACAAAGCTCTAGCAAAAAGAAGTTGGAGTGGCATGTTTCCTTTTACTTCACTACGTTTTCTAGTTGTTTCTAAGTCAAATCATCTTCCTATCGTGTGATGTAATGAAATTGAAGCAGTGAATAGAAGGATAGCAGTGGACAAACCTTTCCGCTTTGAGGTGATGTGGGGTACACACCCAGATTTTGATGCTATGGTGGAACGCATATGGAACGAAGAGGAGGGGGCCATCTCGGTCGCCTCCATGAAAGATAAGCTCGACTAGCTGGTGAGTGCACTTGCGAGCTGGGTAAGCTGCACATTTTGGCACGTACGGAAGGAGCTCGTACTTTGAAAAAGAGGCTAGGCGAGTTATGTGTTGTTCCGAACAAGCAGGGACCTAGTTATGAGGAGAAGAAAATCGAAGAAAGAATAGTTGAGTTGAATTTCTGTGAGAAATCACATGGTGATAGCGCCCCCGAATCCAATGGTTGGCTGAAGGTGACAGCAATACAAAAAATCACCTAAAGGCTACGGGCAGAAAGAAGAGGAAGAATCGCATCACACAACTATTAAGAGCTGATAGGTCTATGCACCAAGATGAGAGGGAGTTAGGAGGTATGGCTATTGAGTTCTATGGAACTTTGTATTTGAAGGTATAATGAGTATTGAGGAGGTGTTACCTCATATACCATGAAGAGTTGATGGCCACATGAATGAAATGCTTAATGTTGGGAATGTAGCAGAAATTCAAAATTTTCTACGCATCACCAAGATCAATCTATGGAGTAATCTAGCAACGAGGGAAGGAGGGTGCATCTACATACCCTTGTAGATCGCTAAGCGGAAGCGTTCAAGTGAACGGGGTTGATGGAGTTGTACTCGTCGTGATCCAAATCACCGATGATCCTAGTGCCGAACGGACGGCACCTCCGTGTTCAACACACGTACAGCCCGGTGACGCCTCCTACGCCTTGATCCAGCAAGGGGAGAAGGAGAGGTTGGGAAGACCCCATCCAGCAGCAGCACGACGGCGTGGTGGTGGTGGAGGAGCGTGGTACTCCAGCAGGGCTTCGCCAAGCACCGCAAGAGACGAGGAGGGAGAGGGGTAGGGCTGCGCCAAGAAGGAGATGTTCTCGTGTTTCTGGCAGCCCAAAACCCCCACTATATATAGGGGAAAGGGAGGGGCTGCGCCCCCACCTAGGTTTCCACCCCTAGGGGTGGCGGCCAGCCCTAGATCCCATCTAGGGGGCGGCCAAGGGGGGAGAGAGGGGGGGCGCACCACTAGGTGGGCCTTAGGCCCATCTGAGCCTAGGGTTTCCCCCTTTTCCCTTCTCTCTTCGCCTTGGGCCCTGGTGGGGGGGCGCACCAGCCCACCTGGGGCTGGTCCCCTCCCACACTTGGCCCATGCAGCCCTCCGGGGCTGGTGGCCCCACTTGGTGGACCACCGGGACCCTCCCGGTGGTCCCGATACATTACCGATAAAACCCGAAACTTTTTCGGCGACCAAAACAGGACTTCCCATATATAAATCTTTACCTCCGGACCATTCCGGAACTCCTCGTGACGTCCGGGATCTCATCCGGGACTCTGAACAACATTCAGTAACCACATATATCTATTCCCTATAACCCTAGCGTCATCGAACCTTAAGTGTGTAGACCCTACGGGTTCGGGAACCATGCAGACATGACCGAGACAACTCTCCGGTCAATAACCAACAGCGGGATCTGGATACCCATGTTGGCTCCCACATGTTCCACGATGATCTCATCAGATGAACCACGATGTCAAGGATTCAATCAATCCCGTATACAATTCCCTTTGTCTAGCGGTACGATACTTGCCCGAGATTCGATCGTCGGTATCCCGATACCTTGTTCAATCTCGTTACCGGCAAGTCTCTTTACTCGTTCCGTAACACATCATCCCGTGATCAACTCCTTGGTCACATTGTGCACATTATTGTCGGAGTAAGTGACCACGGGTAGCCTAGC